GAAGGTAGACTTGTATTTGGAACATCAGTGCATTAGATCTCCCCAAAGAATGAAACTCGTACTCATCAAAACGCTTGAGATATTCTTGTCGGGCAATCTCAGCTCTTGCTCCTCCAGTGATCATATGCATGATGTTGATGATTTATGTGGCATCTATCTTTTCTCTAGCATCTCTTCTTTGATTCTTCTCAGTGAGAGTGATTTGTTTTAGTGAAAAATATTTTTGCATGTCTTTAATTAGTCATTTGACCATAGGCATCAGTTCTCTGCAGTCCTTAGCATCTTGCATGTGATTGTTCTGGAATTTACAAAACATAGATTGGTCTTGAGCACCATCTTTCTTCATTAGCATATACTATATAAATTATTAGTTTCATTGGATGGCCACTATGATTGTGGCAAGTGTTTATATTGTAGAGGAATAATAATGTCGCGGAACTTTTGTTATGGGTTCCTCATGATCTCTTCTCACAGATGTCTTTGCAGTAGTGCGCCTGAACAAGTGAAGTGAACCTTTCTATATCTATTCTCTGGATATCCCTATGTTAGGATGATCATCACACAATCTTTGATCTTTCTTGGTGGTAAACTTCATTCTGGATCCTAATTGCTCAGTTTGGGCCATTTACTCTTCCGTGATGATGAACTTAGCAGCCTTTAGGAGCAAGTCCTCCATGGCATGTAGAGGATTCTTGGGTAAGGAGAAAGGTTCTTGTGTAAAGACTCATGGTGAATGCAACCTACACCAGATTCTTATCGTTATAAGTGACATCATTTGTAGCTCTATTAAAATGTTGAAGACAATCTCATAGAAGTCCACCCTCCTTTTGATGCAAAATTGAAATTGGATTTAATTGGCTAAGCTTTTTATCGCCATAAAGCATGAATGAAAGAGGTGTAAAAAGATTTCAAAGGAGCTAATAAGGAAGGTGTAGAGATTTGAACCATTTGTGGTGGCATGATTGAGAGTGTTAATAAAGACGAGGTACTTAAATAATGACAGAGATCCAGGATATTATGTACAACAACAAAGCTTAATCCCACTAAGTGGGGTCGGCGTTACATGAATTCTTTTTATCAATTACGTCATATGTAGTGTCATATTTTCATTTAATTCTAATAAATTAAGATAATATTTTATACAATACAAGTTTTCCTAGGTCTATGTTTTCCTAGGTCTATCTCTGTCTTTCTTAACCAATCTAAAATATCTACTTTCCTAATCGGATCATCACATGATCGACGTTTCATGTGACCAAACCATCTAAGATAACTCTCTAATTTTGTCCGTCACTGGAGCTACACCAACCCTATCACGGATAAATTCATTTCCCATTTTATCTCTAAGTGTAAAAGGCACTCATCCACCTAATCATTCTCATCTCGACAACACTTAACTTAGTATTATGCTTCTCTTTTAAAGGCCAAAAATCTGCACCATAGAGCGTTGCAGGTCTCACCATCATCTTATAAAATTTTCCTTTCAGTTTAAGTGATACTTTCTATAACATAAATGGCCTGAAGCATTCCTCCACTTCAACCAACCAACTTGAATTCTACTAATAACATCCCCATCTTTATCACCATCACTTTGAACAATAGACCCGAGATATCTAAATCTTTTACACCTTTTAATAATTTGATCACTAATAATTTGATCACTCAAAGTTACACTTCTGTCATTTGGGCTACTATTACTAAAATTACATTCCATGTATTCAGTTTTAGTTCTGCTCATGTGAAGGCCTTTAGACCCCAATGTAGGCCACCATAATTCAAGTTTTTCTTGGACCTTTTCTCTCGTCCTATCCACGAGAAGGATATCATCAGCAAAAACATACACCAAGGTACATCCTCCTACAAATGTCCAGTAAGACCATCCATAACTAAAGCAAAAAGCTATGGGCTTAAAGTCGTTCCCTGATGTAATCCAACATAAATAGGAAAATATTTAGTCAATCCTCCTTCTGTTCGAACATAAGTAACAACTCTAGTATACATATCTTTAATGACTTGAATATAAGTCATATCAACGCCTTTCTTCTCAAAAACTCTTTAAAGGATATCTATTGGAACCTTATCATAAGTTTTTTTTAAATTAATAAAAATCAAATGTAGATCTTCCTTATTTTCTCTGAACTTCTTCATCAAACCTCTCAATAAATGTATAGCTTCCATAGTAGACCTGCCTGACATAAATCCAAATTGATTATGAGAAATCTTTGTAATACGTCTTAACATATGTTCATTTATCTTCTCCCATAATTTTAAAGTACGACACATCAACTTAATTCCTCTATAATTTGCACATGATTGTGCATCCCCTTTATTCTTAAAAATGGGGACCAATGTACTCTACCTCCACTCCTCAACCATCTTTTTAGTTTTTAAAATAATATTAAAGAATTTAGTAAGCCATGAAACTCCCAAATCTCCTAAATATTTCCACACTTCAAGTGGGATATCATCAGGTTCTACAGACTTTCCACCTTTGTTTTTCCTAAAAGCTTGCTCAACTTTTTCTTTACTAATGCAACAGTATTATGAAACATTTTATTATTGTTAACAATATTAAAATCACTAAGGTGGATTGTATTTTTAGAAACTTCATTAAAATTTTTTTCAAAATAACTCACCCACTTATGTTGAATATCTTTTTCTAAGAAAAACACTTTTTGATTTTCATCTTTAATACACTTAATTTTAGTTAAATCTTTACTTTTCTTTTCTTTTTGGTTGACAAGTTTATACATATATTTTTCACCTTCCTTGATATCTAATCTATTATAAAGGTCATTATAAACAGAATTTTTAGCATCAAGAATAGTTCTTTTGGACTCTTTACAGACTGCTTGATATTTTTTTCAGTTCTCTAAGCTTTTACATTTAAACCAATGTTTATAACATAACATCTTATATTTTATATTTTCTTGCACTTTATCATTCCACTACCAACTATTATTATTTATAGAAACATTTACTTTTGATTCTCCTAATACATCTTTTGTCACTTATTTAATAGTATGTGTTACTTTATCCCACATAACATTTGGTTCTTCATAAACATCTCAATTTTTGAAATCCTGAATTTTACTCATAAAAATAATTTTATTTGTCTTTTAGGTTATTCATTATTTTACAACTTTTCATCTTAAAATCTAGAACTAATAATCGATATTAGGTACTTAAATCTGCACTTGGGATGACCTTATAATCTTTACAATCTCGACGATCTCTTCTTCTCACAAGAAAATAATTAATTTGTGTTTTATTAGATCCATTCTTATAATTAATAAGATGCTCATCTCTTTTCTTGAATAAAGTATTAGTAATAAAAATGTCATACGCTAAAGCAAAATATAATTTGACTATCTTCTTCATTAATCACTTCAAAACCGTAGCCAACATGAATTTTTGTGAAATTTTCTACCACTCTACCGACATGTCCATTTAAATCTCCTCCAATAAAAATTTTTTCTTCAAGATGTATCATTTATATTAAGTCTTCTTAAGTCATTCTAAAATTTTTCTTTAAAACCTATATCTAAACCTACTTATCTATAATTACACCTACACCATTTATAGTGCGACTCTTACCAGAATACCAAAGTTTAAAACCTAAATTATCAATCTCCTTAGCCTATCCAGGATATTACATGTGCTCCAAAAATTTACACCTACTTTCACTAAGAGGTAACATTTCGGGTTAATTTTAATAAAGTTGATTGAGTTTTAGATGAGACACTACTTGGAAATTTTGCCCTCACGATCATGAGAGATAACATTATGATTTGGTTTTGGGTTTTTCATAGGCTAGCCCTTTGATTAATTAGCCCTCATGATCTTGAGAGATAACTTTTGATAAGTTTAGTCAATAAGTTCTGAATGCTTAGCGTATAATAGCAGCAATTTAAATTAAAAGTAAAGATCATTATCCTTAACACAGAATGGATGGTAGGAAGAATGATGATAATGATTAAGATCCCATAGTTAAGTTGTCCTTAGTTCTTACGGACCCTAGTCTATTTAGTTTGAGAAGATTGTCGATTCAACTTGATCACAGAATCTTTAAGTGGATTTTAGCTTATAGATTATTTTGTGCTTTATCAACTGTACTCTACATTTACCATTTAGAGAATTTAGTCCTTTAAGGAATTTCTTGGCTTCGCTCCTGAGTGTAATTTAATGATCATTTTATGTTGAACAATTTAATTAGAAGCTCCAATCATAATTATATTTTCTGTGAACAATTTAGTTAGAAAGTCCAGTAAGAGTACACATGCTACAGTCTTCTTAGCTTAAAATCTTTAAATGTGATCCTAGAAGTTGCTATGAAACTCTCTTGATAAGATGGGGTGGGTGTTATTGGCTTAAAGCAGTAGATTTCACTTGGAATGTTTTGAATTTTATTATTATTTTCTTAATACTTTGTATTTTTTATACATATTTAAACTTTCAGATTGCTGATATATTTAAGTTTATGACACGATGTTATTATATTTTTTTTGCTAAATTGATACTTTTTTGAAGAGCCAAAATCAAATTTAGGCAAAGATTTTAAACTGCCACGATTGTCAAAGCTAGAGAATCTTTTAATTTTTTATCTTGGAATATGCATGTTTTAGTATAGGTGTAAATAATTTTTTAGAGATACAATAATAGATTTCTAATTAGGCTAGTTCTGATTGCTTACATCACTAAAAAGTTGCTCTATACCTGTTTTTTTTTCTAAATAATTATGAAGACCTCAGTTGGAGGACTAAAGGTCCGATGGACACATGAATCAACCAACGTCATTCGTTGACAACACCTTTTATAAGTTTTTTTGATGTGGATTATTCAGGTAAATGACAAAACAATATTTCAAAGTGATGATTTCACTTTTTTTTTTTGAAAATTCTTAACTTTACACATGAATTTTTTTAATAATAATTATGTTTCATCGAAATGGTAGTCTGTCCTATTTATCCACAATCGTTGCTCTTCTTTTTCATTTTCAGGACTAAAGAGAGTTGCTGCACAGCGGGTAAAAACTATTGCTGCCTTTGGCCCGTCTGCTTATGAAGGCTTTGAGCTCTTAGCATGCTGCTTTAGAGGTTATCCTTGTTTTCCTAAAGATTTTTAAAATGCGATGTCAGTTTGTGCGATTTGATGATGATAAACTCTAATGAGGTACGGCTACTTAATATGTATTTATGAAGATTGCTTTTTTACTTCTTCTTGTGGACCACTGTTTGTTTCATCAATAAGCTGCTTGGGCTGGCTTAATTGTAGGCGTGATGTAATTCTTTCTCCAGATGCAATATCACGAATATTTCTTTTGATAGGTTAGGGCCGGGATCCTTAGAAATGTCCCTCTACGCTTGTTCTTTCTCTATCTCTACCTCTCTTTGTTAGTATGTACGTTTGATTTTAGACTTGAAAATTTTCTCTTGATTAGAAAATTACAGATAATTAGATGGCTTTTATTTGAATTTGGGCTAAGATCAAAGTAACGATTGTATGTTAAGCGTAGGTTGTGAATATGAATTATGTATTTAGATAAGTGAACTATGGTTGGTAACTGTGCCTTATTATATTTGAGTTAAATAGATATTATATGATATTAGCTTTTTCATAAAGTAGAATTTTCTGTTTGATTTAATATTTTATATATATATATATATATTATAACAGTTCTTGTGGTAATGTAGTTTTGCGCCTATATATATATTATAACAGTTCTTGTGGTAATGTAGTTTTGCGCCTACTTTTGCATAGATTTGGTCGTGATTTGAATCCAACCTTCAACATCTATTTTTTCCAATTAATTTTAATGTGAATTTTGGCATACTAATTTAGGATGAGTTAAAGCTTTATGATCAAACAACTCTATTAATCTGATATGATCCGCAATGAATAGTTAGTGAGTTCATTTTATTAACTCAATACTCAGATCACCTCCCGAAGACTTCTCCAACTTATCCACACGTGTGTTTATCAATGTTTTTGTTTGGTGCGCACGTGTTTTAAATCGTTCAATCATATAGCATTCTCCTCGTCATTTTCTTTCTATATATTTCCTATAAAATATAAACTTCAAATATTAAAATGCCATGGTTATTTCATATAATATTTATATATTCAAAACACATCTAAAGATATTAGTCCAGTCTTTCAAGTATTTCTAAGCACTAGAGCCTCTATTGCAAGATGTGTTAGGTGCTAACTCTATAGCAGAGTGGTTTATTTTGTCCCAAGCTCTTGACTCTCTTCTATGGATTAACAACTAGTATAGAATTCTTTCAACCATCCAAAGAGAATCTCTCACATGCTTGTTCCATCATAACAATTGAAAGTTCTAGATTCCTGCCCAAGGATTTAATCAACACGATGTTAAAGTTAGTGCGTGGATTTTGGAAAGTTCCAACATAAATAGCAAAGAGCAATTGAAATTTGAATCAGTGGGACTTAAACCTATCAGCCACTAACGTATAATCTTTGCTCTTATATTAAATGATTATAAACATAAATTAGACTTTATCATGATTCACTTTTCATTGCACTTGATTTTCTATTGATTAATGAAATGATGTGGTGTAGTTTTTGGTAGACTAACCTTTAGAAGTTAGACTAAGTTGAGAATTTTTATTGATCAATCTTCTAAATGAATAGGACTCCTTAAGATTAAGTAAACTCGAGGACATCTATAAGTGGCACTATCAATTACTAAAGGCATGATTGTGTTCTAATTTAGTTTGGGTAATATTATAGAAACCATGATTAAATAATCATTACCCTGATTGGATAGTCCATGCTTTTGAGCTAATCAGTCCACAAGGCTTAAGGGAGATCCCTATTAAGATGATTCTCTTCATGTAGGGAGCCCATATGATAACAATCATTATGTCACCAAATACTCCAAATAGAGTACAATAATATAAAAGTAACAAATGATGAAAATATAGAAGTTCTGTAAAAGGTTTCCCAACTTTTGGAAACCAATTAATTGCTAAATTTGACAGTTATCATACGTTTTGTTATCAACTATGAATTTTAACATCTAGAATCAGTCTTATGATTTCAAATTAGGAAAATTTAAACTGAGATTTGTGAATAGATGATCAGTGTGCTTTATATTTAAAAAGATATGGAACTAATGATAAATTATATTATTTGTATGTAATTAAGATTAAAAATTGCTGAACTTGTATGTATATATGTATGTATGTATGTATGTATGC